ATTGTGCTACAACTAACATCCACCATGATCGTTTCTTGATCCGTATACCGCTTCTTCTTCGTGAGAATGTCCTTCATGAATTTAGCATACTTTGGCATTTGCTCCAATGCTTCGGAAAATGGAATATTAATTTGCAATTTTTTGAATATGTCTATAAACCGAGCATAGTGTCTAGCATTGTCTTTCCTTGTCGGAGCATGCGGATAAGGCAAATTTTGAATCGGTATAGTGTTTACTTGCTCTTTTCCTTTTCTCGAATTTTTCACTCTTTCTTCTCTCTTACTTCTCTCTCCTTCCTTACCTTTTTTCACTTTCTCATTTTCAACTAAATCTCCCTCAACATTTTTTTCTACTTCTTTCTCAACATTTTCAATTTCTTTTTCAACTACAACTTCTTCCGCCACTATCTCCTCACCTACGCCCATGTCAATTTCTCTACCACTTCTTGTGAGAATCGCCTTGCAATGCTCCTTAGGATTTGGAATAGCGGTAGCCGTGAAAGGCCTTTTTTGTTAATCGACCAATGGTTTTGATAACTGGCCCACTTGTGTCTCCAAATTCTTAATAGCCGCGTCGGTGTTCTTTTGATTTGACATTGACATTTGCATGAATTGAGTAAGAGTTTCCTCCATCTTTGATGGTGCACTTTGAGTTTGTGGAGGTTGAGTTTAATTTTGATATTGTTGACGATTTGAAGTTCCAGCTTCTTGTGGCCTCCAAGGTTCTTGGTACTCTTGATTAGGTCTTTGATAACTTTGATATGCTTGTTGATAAGGTGATCTTTGTTGGTATCCTTGATTTTGATTTTCGACATAATTGGCTTCTTCCAAAATGGGAGGACAATATCCGATAGGATGATTACCTTTACACAATTCGCAACTCGCCACTTGAACTTGAGTAGGAACTTCTTGCATCTCTTTGATTTGTTGTGGACGCTTCGACATTTGTTGGATCAAAAGCTCCACTTGTTGCGTAAGAAGTTTGTTTTGAGCAAGAATAACATCATTCGTACCTAACTCGAGCACACCTGGTTTTCATTGAGCTACTCCACGGTTATGATTCCCTTGGAGATCATTAAGTGCCATCTTATCAATAATTGCAATTGCATCTTCGGCACTTTTTGACATCAAAGAACCCCCCGCCGTAGCATCCAATAAGGTCTTGTGAACCGAAAGGAGACCATTGCGGAAAATGTAAACTTGAGTAAGTTCATCAAAATCGTGTCCTTTGCATTTTCTCAACATAGACTTGAATCTCTCCCAAGCTTCGTTGATGGATTCACTTGCTCCTTGTGAAAACACAGCTATCGCAGTTTTTGCTTCCATGAAACGGTTATATGGAAAGAACCGTTCAAGAAACTTCTCTTCCAATAGATTCAATCTGTCATGATTATTGTAGATTGATCAAGATATCATTCATTCGCTTTCCCAATCAAGGAATTAGGAAATAACCTCTTGAACAATGACTCTTCGTCAGCTTCGGTTGCTCCCGTTGCACCCACAATCTCATAGAATTTTGTAAGATGTGTGAACGGATCCTCATGATCTAATCCCGTGAAAGGATTTTGATAGATAAGTGCAAGGATTCTCGTCTTCATCTCGGCTTGTCTTCCATTTTGAAGATTACGCGGGAACTGAGCGGTGTGTCTTGGACTATTCGTACATGGAGTGGAATTAGGTGGAGTGGATGAAGAAGATTATCCACATTCTTGTCTATGAATAGCTTGTTGTCGTCTTTGCCTTGTGCGAATATTAGTGCGGCGAACAGTTCCCTCAATCTCAGGATCGAAAAGAAGGTTTTCCTCGCATAAACAAATTCTGCACACGAACCAAACATATTAAAAAGCACAAAGAATTACAAAGATAAGAGATTCACAATACAAAAATCTTAAAATCACTAAACTATTGCAATGCTTGCAATATTCTACTAACAATCCCCGGCAACGGCGCCAATTTGTTAGAAAGTATTTTGTGGTAGTGTTTTATCGTATCCACAGGGATTGATGAGAATATAGATGCTTGCCGTTCAACGGTTTAATGATTTAAGAAAGGGGGTTTTTAGAATGGTTTCAATTTTCGTAACAAAAGTTTGCAAGAAATAAAGCAGAATAAAAGTCGATCTAAGTTTGATAAAAGCATGTCAAGATTAGGGTTCGTTAGTCTGTCCTAAACGTATCTAATCGATCAAATATGTGAACGAAGTTTTAACCAACATAACCGCATATCCTCGCAAAAACGTTCACCTCTAAAGCGATTTCGTGAATGCTATTGTTTCGACTGTTAAATGATCTCTCTAAATAACACTCAAAACAATAGTCATTAAGATCGATATAAAGCGGGTATTAACTTTCAAATCTATGTCTCGCATTTGTATAGTTGATAGATGAAGAAATTAGGTCAAGACTTGGAAAGTTCATGTCTAAAGCAATCCAAACCATAAATGTACAAAGAGTAGCAAATAACTTCATCTATATTGATCACAACATTTGTTCACATACAAAAGATCAAGAAGAATACATAAATTCTGAACTAACTACTCTTAACCTTGACAAGGGAGGTATTTAGCCACTCATTTTCATGATAGCTTGAGCAACAAGTTTTGGGAGAAGATTGATCAACATCCGAGTCGAATAATCAAGATTGGATGGGAATCCACCTTCTTTTGGTGAAATATTGCAAAGAAATGATGAGAAATGAAGGAATGGGTTTTTAGGTCAGAAAAATCCTCTCAAATGCAATTACAAGAAAATAGATATTTTTACAAAAAGTAGTTCATACTACTAATAGAAGGGTCTGCTGAGCTGTCACGTTCGGTAGGCGAACAAATGGTTCGCCTAGCGAACACCAAAAATGCCACCTGAAGTGCCTGTGTCCTGTGAACTCTCCCCAAACAAGTTTCCAAAAGTTCGTTGTGTGAACAATCCTCAACCTAGCGAAGCCTTCGTTGTGAACTTCGCCTAGCGAGTTTATGGCCCTTTCGCCTCTGTCTCAAGTCTGGGAGTGTTCGATGGCTACTCGTTATCTCTTTGCCTAGTGAGTTCTTCGCTGCCTCCTTCGCTTAACGAGTTTATGACCCTTTCCTTACTGTTTTGGATTCCTGGCCTTCGCTACATAGTTCGCCTAGCGGACTTTATGAAGTTTTGGTGGCAACTTTGCTAGCAAGTTCACCTAGCGAACTTGCTGTTGTTTGCATGTTGTCTTGGTTTCTTTGCCATCTTTCTTGTGTTTTAATTTCCACTCTTTCATGCCTAATTCCTGCACAATAACACACAAATCAAAGGTACCAAGACATTTTCACATAATGTTGCAAAACAACCAAAGCAAGAGCGATTTTGAACACTTTCTTGATAAAAAGGAGTGAAAGATGCCCACATTCGATAGATCAAATAAGCAAAGCTGGGCATCTAACAAGCACCTATCCTCGGGATAAATTCCTGATCGACCCTGTCATCGACCACAAACAAAGCTAGCTATCGAGCACGATTAATGGCTTCTGCGTCTAGTTACACACATAGCCCCGCGAGCTCAGCACCTCGAGCACGAGCGGTGCTCCTCCGAACAAGTCCCTACGTCCATCCTCGACACAAGAATTGACTCTTAAGTCATTACTCCTACGCTTCGGAGCAACGACTTAGGGGACTCCTTTTCTGAACTGGGCCAGGGGATGGCCTACCGTCGGGCAGGACCCAACCAGCTCCTCGTCGGAGAGGGTCCAATAAAGGCTCAATCCATCAACTCGCATGGGAACGCTCCTCACGCGTCTCCCCCATGGTCTCCACATGCTCCCCACGCGGGGACACGTCATTAGCCAACTTCCCGCGTCCGAAAGAACAGGTCCTCCACCTTTCGAAGTTCACGGGGCAGTTGATCCAAGACGAATACCACGTGTTGGTCTTTCCTACGCCACATAGAACCTGGAAGTTATCTGTATTGGGCCTAATGATTAAACCCAGTGTAGATAAGCGTTAGCCCAGCGTTGGGGGCACATTATAAATACCCTCTTTTACAAGAGGGTAGGTATTCTAACTTATTTTTGTACTCTCTCTCTCTCTAAAACTTATTTTAGCATCAGAGTACCTTGCAGGTACACCCCTCTCCTCTTCTCCACCACCGACGAACTAAAAGTTCGCGACGTGTTGTTGGCCACTAATTGATATATATATATATATATATATATATATATATATATATATATATATATATATATATATATATATATATATATATATATATATATATATATATATATATATATATATATATATATATATATATATATATATATATATATATATATATATATATATATATATATATATATATATATATATATATATATATATATATATATATATATATATATATATATATATATATATATATATATATATATATATATATATATATATATATATATATATATATATATATATATATATATATATATATATATATATATATATATATATATATATATATATATATATATATATATATATACTTTCTCCCATTTTTGCTTAAAAACATGTTTTTTATTTTAGTTTGGTGTCTTATATCCAACATCACATATTTATGGAAATTTCTATTATCAAATTTTTTATCTTAGGTGTGGATCGGTGATACTAATGGGCCTTTTATTATTTTACTAATTTTAGTAAAAGTTGTTTCTGATGCTAAATGTTAGGAGAAAGCAGTTGAAATTTTTATGTTTGCACTCAACATTTGAATCATGGTTAGAACAAGTTACTTGGTACTTTTTTTATCACTAGTTTTCAGTCGCAGTTGCCTAAATAAGCCATTACCTGAGATTGGATCGGATCGGATCGGAAGAGATCACACTCTCCAACGTTTTGGTGGGTATTTCCATTCACTATCTTCTCTATTCTATTTCTGTGATAAATCAAGATTGTTTATATTTGTAATGTTAGTTTCTTAGATCGCAGAATGTGATATAAATCTTGAAGACTGGTGCGGTTTTGTGTTGAAACGCAGTGTGGAAACATGTCATTGAAAAGTATAGTCTGTGAACTAAAGGGGATTAAAAATAGAATATCAAAGCTCTGTCGTGGTTCGAAATCAGTAGCTATAGATGTAACTCCAACTGAACCTAATCAACAGGGACAATGGGCGACTCTACCCCCAGAGTTGCTTTCAGACATAATACGTAGACTTGAAGAGAGTGAGACATCTTGGCCTGAGCGTACTGTTCTTATCTTTTGTGGTTCTGTATGTAAATCATGGAGGTCCGTTACGAAAGAGATCATCAAGACTCCTCAGCAACGTGGACAGATCACATTTCCTATTTCATTGAAGCTCGTAAGAAATTCTTCTCCCACTTTCTTTTCTAATCCCAATAATTCTTTTCACTCATGTTTCTTATGTTATATTTCCTTTCTGTGTATGAATAGTCCGGTCCACGCGTGTATGCAATGCGCTGCTTTATTAAGAGGAACAAACAAAATTCTACATTCCTATTGTACTTAGACTCGGTGCCAGGTAAGTATTTCATTGCAGATTGTAGTTGATTGTCACTTTTTGATTTTATGATCCATTTATTTAAGTAGTTTGGTTTGTTTTGGTTGTAATTGTACAGCGGAGAATGAAAGTAGTAAGTTGTTATTAGCCGCTAAAAGAATAAGAAGGACCAAATTTGTCATATCCTTGGCCGCAGATGATTTTTCTCGAGCCAGGAACAAATATGTTGGTAAACTGAGGCAAGTTTGAATTGATACAAACATTTATTCACCATCTCTTATAATCTTCACAACTTGATTGATTTTTATACATATGGCAGGTCTAATTTTTGGGGGATGAAGTTCACTATATACGACGGTCATCCTTCAATATTCGATGAAACTTTATCTTCGTCACGAGAACTAAAGGGAAAACGTCGGATGAAAGATACATTCTCTGTAAGCCTGTCAGAGCCGTTGGAACGGAAACACAATGCTCCGGGATGGGATGAGCAGCGTCTGTTACGTTTTCTAGACGATAAGGACCATGCTGTTGTGTCTTCTATAAAGAACTATGAGCTTTTAGCTGTTCTTAATGGTTCTCGTGATGTTTCTCCTTTAGAGCAAGAAAATGTAATCTTGCATTTTGGTAAGACTCCTACAAAAGATATATATATCATGGACTACTACTATCCACTCTCTGCCTTTCAAGCCTTTGCCATCTCATTGACGGCAATGTGATCATCATCTGCTGATCAAACACCAAGAACTGAGAAACCCAGGGTGTTGATTAGTGGATGAACGACTGAGATTAACACAGGATGAAGAACATGCATGAGAGAGACAGCCAGAGACACGATCCGTTTCCAGTGCATATTTACATCTAGTTTTTCTTAATTCTTTACAAACTAGCTATGTGGGACTTTTTTGTTATTAGAATTTATTAGTTTGAAAGCTTAGCAACAATCAATTAAGAGAATATTTTTACCCTATTACTGTTAACTGTTTGGCTTTGTTTATTTTATTTAGATATAAATCAATGATGAGGATCCAAAGAGTCAAAGGTTAACCGTATGAATTAGAAAATGTTTTAAATTTAATTTAAAAATCACTATTATTTATCACATGCATTTCAAAAAAATTTATACCATAAGTAATAGGAAAAAAGCTTTTATCAAAATATATGTTGTTATCTTTGTTAGAGCATTAAATTACTATTAAATTCGTTTTAATTACAATATTTATACGAGTTTTAGTTTACATGAGCCTAAGTTTAGTGTTGCACCGGACAAATGATAACATATTTTCTTCCATAATTAAGTGATACAATTATTTTTTAGATTTTGAATGGCAATTATGCCGGATGATTTTGTCTCCAATACTATAGGAGTTCAACTCCGATTTTATTGTTCATGTTAATTGGTTGGAGACAAAATTTTAAGAAAAATTCTTAGATCGAGATAGACATATTATGTTGATTTACATATAACCAATCACAACTTTTTAGTTAGTTAAAATTAAAAATAAAATTTTCTCTTTCCGTTCTTTATTACAACTATCATACGATTCTAATTAGAAAAGAAATTAAATTTTAAATAAATTTAAAAGTTTTTCTTTTTTTATTGGTTGTTTCTAAAGATATAAATATATATTTGTTTTCATGCAAGTATTTCTCAAACTTTAATGTCTTCACATGATTCCGCTTTAATTTTATTATGTAAAATCACACCAATTGATTCCTTCATCATGGAAGCATGGCCAACAATCAAATTTTTTCCTACTTATATGGTTTTGGGTCTAGGTTCATGACCCTCCTATGAGCATTATTTTTAAATGCATAAATAATGTCATGTTTTGTATCATGCGATTCTCTCTGAATAATTAACTCTCATCTTAACATGAACGCAAAAAATTAAATGTTGGGATCATTATGTTTGAGTGCAATAATTTATGACATTTTTTCAGTATTATCTTGAATTCTGGATTACATTAAACCCCAACATGATGGTAGCAGGTTGATTAACGATATGGAAAGTATATAGCACTGATAGATTATCACGAAGGTAGCAGGTTGATTAACGATATTGAAAGTATATAGCATAGATAGATTATCATAGCAGGTTGATTAACGATATTGAAAGTATATACCATAGATAGATTATCATAGCACGTTGATTAACCCCATTGGGCGAATAGATCCCCCACCCTTCGACGTCAATCTTGAATTTAAAGACAATGAAAATCATACAGTAGTTCGCCACCAACAATGTGAATCTAGATTCCTCGTCGAATCACCAACAAAGAATGAAAAAAAATAATTAAATTTATTCTTGCTAAACACTATTTGGAGAAATCTCCCTAAAGCTAGTCAGGAGAGACCGCAATCGTCCTATATGATTAAGAGGATTTTAGTGGTTTTCTCTTCCTTCATGGAGGAAGTTCCATTTTATATTGTTTGAATCATCAATGACTCTTTAACGCATGCCTCTTTGCGTCCCTCATTAAGGTGGCTCCAGATAACGTCTTTCGCCCTCTGTAATTACTACATAACGTCTTTTTCATCAATGTCTGTAACTCCCACGCAATCATGGGGTATTTTATAACCTTTTCTTGCGACTATCCATATGATATCCTAGCACTGAAGTCAGACCCAACTTACCGATCTATCCGTGTTATCACGAGTCCGACGTTGACGTGCTTGCTTTGCTTCTAATTGGCTTCTAACTGGATTCTAACCTGTGTAAAACTATGGCTTCCCTGGCTTACTTGTATCCTCGTACTTGGTTTTCCAAGAACTCGGCCTTAGAGAATTTTGGGATGTACATAAGCCCCCCGATCACGAGATCATATTGGATCGAAGTGTTCAGACAAGATAATCTCAGATTTCCTTCTTCTTTAAGTCGGTTTCCTCTTCGGCGAGTTATGGAAACTCCCGTTTGTCATTATTACTCTTCTTCGGTATAAACTCTTGATTGTTGCAAATTTTCTTTGAATAAAAAGAGACTTGTTCTTTCAGTTTGCTCATCTTAGCAAAGTTAGTGATCTTCCTAAGTGTTGCAAACAAGTTCTATCTTATCAGTCGCTCGATTTTTCTGCAATCTCTAACCCCAAGTATCATTTTCTTTTCCCCTTTTTACTCTCCTATTGCTTTTTTGTTATGTTGTTAGTAAGATATTACAATCAATCGGGAGAATTCTCGATTTCCCTTACTGCTCATGATAGAGATAGAATTTGGACTCATTGCATGAGAGAATGTGAGGATTACTTCAATATACAAATATATGTACCCATATCTACCAAAGTGAGTATTGCGACAATTCGAGTATCTACAGGGTATCCTAGAGACCCCACATTTGGTGCTCGTGTCACTGTCTATCACAAAGATGTTGATGAGATGTTTGTCGACTACTATCGGTATTTGGTGTTAGAGGATGTATGTAGTGTGTCAGCTCATCGTCCATGGAGTATGGTATACAAATACATAAAATAGTTTTATAGAGTGTCTCATATTTATATGACACAATTGCCAAAAGTAGATTTTTCTAGGTCATCTCATAAGAAGATGCTAGAAGAATAACATGTAAGGGCATATCATGTCGTGGATGTATTACATATATGTCAATGTATTGTTGTTATTGGAATAGATAACATAACTATATAAGAGTTTTAGGAAGGCACTCTTGAAATGGTCACTTTATAAACAATATTATTAGAGACACATGCAATGCAGTATATGAGGCAGAAGAGGAACGTTGACGTTAAATATACCCATTAGCTGTATTTTGATTTGTATTTTCATATAAATATTTTGAATGGTTGAGTTATGAATTATATATGGTTTATGACTGATGTATGGTTACTATATGATTTGATGTGAAAATTATGAATGAATGACTTATGTATGATTTATGACTGATGTATAGATACAGTATTGTTTGATATAAATATTATGAATGAATGATATATGTATGGTTCATGACTAATGTATTGATAATGACTTATACATAATATTGTTCATGTTCATGTGTTTATAATGTTGGATTTTTTTTCGGAGATTGAAATTCGCATTCACCCCTTTAGTATGATATATATTAGAAGTAATTCATATTTAGTTGTACTATTACTTAGCCCCTAAGTTTGTTAAAGGGTATTTTAGTATTTTATCTTATTCTAGTAACCCTAGTTTTAGCTTATAAATAGGGTTGTAATCATTGTAATATCTAAGTGGTTGTGTGTAGCCGTCATTCTCTTAATAGAATATTTCTCTATTCATCATTTATTCTACCTTTGCACCAACAATTGGTATCTAGAGCTCCGGTTCGGATTCATTGGGAAACACGGGAAACACGAGTGAACGTAAGGTCTTGTGTGTTTGATTTTGATTCTTAGATTCGTGTTGAATCTTGAACAAAATCTGATCAGAATTTTTATTTTGTGGGTTGGGAAACACTGTGTGAGAAATCTGAGTGTACTGTGCAAGGTAGAAGATGAACGGAAACGGCAACATGAACACCAAACTTCCAGTATTTGACGGTAAAAACTGGAATCGTTGGATGATCCAAATGCGTGTACTGTTCGGTGCTCAAGATGTTCTAGATCTTGTCACTGATGGTTATGTTTCGGTAGCAGCAAATGCGACGGATGAACAGAAAAACGCGTAGAAGGAAGTAAGGAAGAAGGATCAGAAATTATTGTTCTTCATTCATCAATGTGTGGATGTAAATGTGTTTGAGAAGATTGCAGATTCAATGACAGCAAAGGATGCGTGGGACACACTGGTGAGATGTTATGGTGGTGACGCATCAGTGAAGAAGGTAAAGCTTCAGTCCTTGAGAAAGCAATATGAGAATCTCAACATGAAGAATAATGAGAAAGTCTCTGAATACATTTCCAGAATGATTCTGATCACTAATGAGATGAAGGCATGTGGAGAAACTCTTTCTAAAGAAGCAATCATGGAGAAAGTATTGAGATCCCTTACCTCTCAATTTGATTATATTGTGGTAGCAATAGAACATTCCAAAGATCTGAGTGCCATGAGAATTGAAGAGCTGCAGAGCAGTCTAGAAGCGCAAGAATTTGTTTGACTGAGAGAACCTCTGAAAAGGAAGTATAGCAGCAGGCTCTGAAAGCAACTTCTGATAGGAGGTATCAGAAGCAGTCAGAAGCCAGGAGAAGATCTGATGGTGGCCAGAAGTCAGAAAGCTCAACCTTTGATAGACAAAAGAATGCTCATAAGGGAAAAGAGAAGTATGACAAGAAGAAGATCCAATGTTACTGTTGCAAGAAGTTTGGTCACTTTTCTAGAGATTGTTGGTCAAACAAGGAGAGAAAATCAGAAGAAGAAAATATAGCCAGAAGTTCTGATGACGAATCTGTGCTATTAATGGCCTCTGAATCTGATGATATGGATCTGATAGACTGGTGGTATATGGACACTGGCTGTTCAAATCATCTTACTGGAAACAAGAAATGGTTGGTTAACTTTGACTCTGAAAAGAGGACAAATATCAGATGTGCTGATGAAAAATATCTTAACGCATAAGGTATGGGAAATGTCAGAGTGATTCTGAACAATGGGAAAACAGCATTGATTCAGAACGTGTGGTATGTACTTGGCATCAGAAGCAATCTGATGAGTGTGGGACAATTAATTGAGATTTTTCAGTTACCATGAAGGACAATCTTTTGAAGCTGTATGACTATAATCAGAAGTTGATTATAGAGTCAGAACAGGGAAGGAATAGAACATTCAAGGTGAATGTCAGAACTGCAGACTCAGAATGTCTTAGTGCAACAAGTGCTGAGAAGGAGAGTGAGCTGTGGCACAGAAGATTTGGTCATTTGAATTTCAGAAGCTTAAAACATCTGAATTCAAAGAAGTTGGTACATGGAATTCCTGCAATTAAGAAGCCTGAAAAGTCATGCAAAGTTTGCATGGAAGGAAAACAACCACGATTGCCATTTGCGTCAGAAGCTGCTCCAAGAGCAAAACATGCCTTGGGAGTTGTACATTCTGATGTGTGTGGTCCATTTCCAGTAGCATCAATCGGAGGGAATAAATACTTTGTGTTATTTGTTGATGAATTCACAAGAATGACATGGGTATCTCTTATTAAGTTCAAACACGAGGTGTTTGATGAATTCAAAAAGTTCAGAATGAAGGCTGAAAATCAGAGTGGTCAGAAGTTGAAGATTCTTAGAACTGACGGTGGAGGTGAGTATAACTCTAAAGAATTCCAGAAGTTCTGTGAGGAGAATGGAATTGAGCATGAGGTTACTGCTCTTTATACCCCTCAACACAATGGTCTTGATGAAATAAGAAACCGCACTTTGCTTGATATGGTGAGAAGCATGCTAAAGGAGAAGAAGCTTCCTCAGAAGCTCTGGGGAGAAGCTGTTGCCACTGCAACGTATGTACTCAACCGATGTCCTACGAAGAAGTTGAAGGAAGTAGTTCAAATACAGAAGTGGATTGGAGATAAGCAAAGTGTTAGTCATCTGAAGGTGTTTGGTTCTGTTTGCTATAAACATGTTCCAGAAGCTAGAAGACAGAAACTGGATGATAGAAGCAAAGTGATGATTCTGATAGGGTACCACAATACAGGTGCATACAAGCTCTATTGTCCAGAAACCAATAAAATTGAATTCAGCAGAGATGTGATTGTGAAGGAATCAGAAGTTTGGAATTGGGATAAGTCTCAATCTGATTCTGATGTTAGAACTTCTAAAGAAAGGTCAGAGTTAAGAATTTCTGAAGTTGGAGTAAACTCTGACATTGATTCTGACTCTGATAGTGATTCTGACTCTGGAGAAGACTCAAAAGATGAAGGTGACTCTGATGATCCAGACTCTGATGGTAATCCAGATTCTGGTGGAAATTCAGACTCTGAAGATGGCCAAGGCCCTGGAGGAAGCCAAGCCTCTGAAGCTAGAAATTCTGAAGTTCAAGACTCTAGAAATATGTCAGACCCTGAAGATGGTCAAAGCTCTGGAGGAAGTCAATCATCTGAAGCTCAAGACTCTGCACAAGTTCAGAGACCACAAAGAATAAGAAACATCCCCAGAAGATATGCAGAATTTGACATGCTGCAAGACACTAAAGTAGACTCTGAAGGAGAAGTTATTCAATGTGCCATAATAGTAGACTTTGAACCTATAAGTACAGAAGAAGCTCTTAAGCAAAAGCTCTAACTGAAGGCCATGAAAGAAGAACTTGATGTTATAGAGAGAAACAAGACTTGGAAGCTGACAGAACTTCCAAAAGACAAGAAAGCCATCAGCGTCAGATGGGTTTTCAAGCAGAAGTTAAAGCCAGATGGTTCAATTGGCAAACATAAAGCAAGGTTGGTAGCCAGAGGATTTCTACAGAAACCTGGGCTGGATTATTCTGAAGTGTTTACACCTGTAGCAAGACATGAAACAATCATAATGGTGATTGCAATAGCTGCTAACAGGAATTGGCCTCTGATGCATTTAGATGTAAAATCTGCATTTCTGAACGGTCCATTAGAAGAAGTTTACGTGTCACAACCTCCTGGATTTGTGAAAAAGAATCAGGAAGGGATGGTGTACAGATTATACAAAGCTCTATATGGATTGAAACAAGCGCCCAGAGCTTGGAATCAGAAGATTGATTCATTTTTCAAGAAGCAAGGCTTTCAGAAATGTGAGATGGAGTACGGTGTTTATGTTCAGCATACTTTTGAAGGCAATATGACTCTGGTGTGTTTATATGTTGATGACATACTGCTGATTGGAAGTTCTGAACAGGAGATAGCCAAGTTCAAGAAAGTTCTGATGAATGAATTCGAAATGACTGATCTAGGCAAAATGACATACTTTCTAGGGATGGAGTTCAGATATTCTGAGAAAGATATCATTTTGCATCAGCTCAAGTATGAATTAGAACTTTTGAAGAGATTTGAACTGAAGAATTGTAAGATTGTTGTCACACCTTCTGATACAAATCAGAAACTGGATTCTGACTCTGATGGAAAGGATGTGGACGCTACAACCTTCAAACAGTTGGTTGATTCTCTGAGGTATCTGTGCAATAGCAGACCTGGTATTTGTTATTCTATTGGGATGGTTAGTAGGTTCATGAGTAAACCTAAGTGGTCCCATTACCAAGTTGCTATCAGGATTCTGAGGTATATCAAGGGAACTCTGAAGTATAGAGTGTTATTTCCTTCTGGAAGAAAGAATGAGTTAGAACTTCTGAGTTATTCAGATTCTGATTGGTGTGGAGATAGAGTTGACAGAAGAAATACCTCTGGGTACTTGTTCAAATTTCTGGGAGGTCCCATTTCTTGGTGTTCCAAGAAGCAACCTGTTGTGGCGTTATCAACCTGTGAAGCTGAATACATTGCAGGTGCTGTTACTGCATGCCAAGCTGTGTGGATTCTGAATCTGTTGCAGGATCTGAAGATTAAAATAAACAAACCTCTCAAGCTGATGATTGACAACAAGTCTGCAATCAATCTTGCCAGAAACCCAGTGTTGCATGGGAGAAGCAAGCATATTGAGACCAAGTATCATTTTCTGAGACATCAAGTTCAGAGTTGAGTGTTAGAAGTTGTACACTGCAGCACTCAGAAACAGTTGGCAGATGCTATGACGAAAGCTATCAAGACTGATCAATTTCTCAGACTAAGGGATGGAATTGGTGTTACAAGTTTTGATGGAATATGAATTAAGGGATGGTATTAGAAATAATTCATATTTAGTTGTACTATTACTTAGCCCTTAAGTTTGTTAGAGGGTATTTTAGTATTTTATCTTATTCTAGTAACCCTAATTTTAGCTTATAAATAGGGTTGCAATCATTGTAATATCTAAGTGGTTATGTGTAGCCGTCATTCTCTTAATAAAATATTTCTCTATTCATCATTTATTCTACCTTTGCACCAACAATATATACACACACAATATAGTCTAAAGGGTTTATTCAGATATTAAAATCCAAATTGATCCTATCTATCACATACATAATACACATACTATATAGTTTAAATGATTTGTTGGATATTGAAATTTGCATTTACCTTATATATATCATTGTCAGTTCATTACAAGTTACAACACATTAAAACAGTGCTAAGCATGTTAACATCTCTGTTATTAAGCTTGAAATCATAATCACCCACTAATTTCAACTCTAATATACTCGGATAATAAATTCAGAATCTAAATAAAGCCACATGTTGAATTTCCAAGTAACCTCGTGAATGGTTTTGGATCTTGATCACCATTGCATTCACTCCCATTCCACTAAATAAACTCTTCATTGCATGACACATATAACTAGGACTACTAATGCTGAATATTACAACAGCATTCTGTGTAACTTTGAGTGTATAGAATAACAACCAAACAAATGTAGTTGTGTTTAGTCGGAGTTGGAAATTTGGAACCTAACTCTTCCCAACAAAACGATACACAACAACACCAACTCTAGAACCATGGCAAGGAGTGTCAACATGCAAAACATCAATGAAAAAGTGCTTCCTCGCTTTATTGAAGAAAACCGATTCTTTTTTCCACCTCTTCGTATGAGCCATGACAAACACAATCTTCTTCCCAACCAACAACAAACGCAGCGTTTCAATCAACGGCTCATAGAGATGATCATGATACACTACATCCGAAGCTACGATAACATCAAACTCTCTCCCAATTATCTCCACGTCATCAGCATGGCCCCACCTCAGAGGTGCAAATGTAACTGTCCCACCGCTGGACCCCACAACAGCTGCGTTGGCTTCCGCGTTGAACTTGAGATTGGGAACTACGTGAGGGAGATCTGTTAGGGTTACGTTGCTGCCGAGAGTGGCGGCGGCGACTATACCGACTATTCCGGTACCGGAGCCGAGTTCGAGGATCCTCAGAGGGCCGTTGGCGTTAAGTGTTGTGAAGGCGGTGGAGAGAGGGCTGTTGGTGGGATTTATGCGGTGGTTGTCGAGGAGGGAGACGAGAGAGGAGGCGGTGGGCCAGAGCTGGAAGGAGATACCTTCCGATGGGAGCTGACGAATTGTAACCGCTGATTGAATCGAACGGAGGAAATGTTTTTGAAATAATTCTTGCTTTGGTGAATCGTCTTGTATGGTAGTGAATACAATGGGTTTGTCATCTTCGTCGGTTAGGAGGCTTGTGAAAGGATTTATTTCGTCGTCTTCGTCTTCCATTTTATTTTTGAGATAGCCCTTCATGACGGTGAGGCTATGGCTTACCGGGTTTATACTAAAGACATTTCACATTTTGTGACGCCAATTTACTTTTCTGTCCCTTCTTAATTACATACTCCTATAAGAATGGAGCAAATTCTCTCCGATGGGGTTTTAAGGGTGTAAAGTATAAATCCTAACCTTTCGGATAAAGTAAAATGAAGATAGGTTTCAAATAAAATTTAATTTCAGAGGAACTAATACCCCTGTAAGAAATAAATTTTAGGGTAAATTTAACTTGTACACAATCCATTTATAAAATTATATTAAAAAAATAATTTAAAAAGTTAATTTAATACTTTTATTATAATTAATGTATAATTTATAAAGTAATATTTTTTCATTTAGTTGTTGACTTCCGTAGACAAATTAGTACTCTTTTTTTTTTTATAAATTGATTCTCTGCTGATAGTTACATAACTAAATTTTGAATTAGAAAAGATTATAATAAAAGATAAAATATTTTTCACCTTGATAGATGTATTTTTTTAAATATTAAATTTTTGTCATATATATATATATTAAATAAAAGACGTTGCAACACAAAAAGTAGTTTTTTTTTAAACAAATATATATATATATATATATATATATATATATATATATATATATATATATATATATATATATATATATATATATATATATATATATATATATATATATATATATGTTTGATTCAAATTTTAGTAGGAGAAGGAAGGAGAGAATAGGAGAGCAAAATCTCTTTAAAACATATTTTTTTGTGTTTCTCCGAATTTAAGGGATTTGGAGGAGAAACGAAGAAATATGAGTTTTGATATTTAAAAAATTATTATATTTGCTAAAATATCTTAAGTTTATTTTCATATTTTAAAATTATTCGTTATATATGTTTCATCTTAGTGTTTCTCTTTTGTGTGATTTTTCTCAATTATTTCCATCAATTTATTATAGTTGTTCTCCACCTTCAAATCAATTTTGAATTTTTGTACCTAATATAAATCATAATCAATGCACTTTTTGTGTTTTTATAATAAAAAAATTATGTTTATTTTATTTGTTATATCAAATTTTAAACCATTTATATTAATTATTTTTGTTTATTCATTTTATTAAAAATTTTGAGCCATTAATATTTAATAATAAGTTATTTTATGTATTTTTTTGGTGAGATGATTCATCACGATTTAAATATTGTTATCAACATATAGTTTAATTTATGTTGGAAAATTATAATTTGAATCTAGTGTACTTAATTTTTTAACGTTATGTGATAAATTAATATTTTTTTAGTCATTCAATATTTGAATTTTTTACTACCAAAAATAATATATATATGAATTTTTCACATTTGAATATTATATCACTTATATAAGATCATAAGGATAAAAATATAAATTATTAATAAAATCTCTCAATTCCCCTCTTGAACCAAACACTTTTTAAATTAAAATCTCTTTCTTCCCTTTTTTCTCTCCTCTTTTGAATCAAACACTTATCTGATTAAAAAAATCATTTACTTCTCTTCCCTCCACTAAAAATCATCTCCTCCCCTCCCCCTCATTTAAACCAAACTGGCTCATAATGTTCGTTGAATATTTACTCATTAAATTAATTTAAATATTGATATCATGACCAACATTGAGATGCATTTTATCCCCATGTTATTTATCTATTGGTTTCTTATCTTGATTTTCTGTTAAATTATGAATTGTTGGAGAAGCATGAACCTCACGTTTTTTATGTACCTCGAGAATGATTTCTTCTTGGCCTTTTACCTCATGATAATCATCTTTCGCATATCCGGACATAATAAATGAATCAATGTATGTTCTTTTTCCAGTCCATTAGTGTCATCTACTTTTTTTTTTGTAGAACCTTAACCACAAGTTGGTCATTCTCTATAAGAATTAGGTATTTTTTGGATAGTTTGCCTACTTTTGTTATAGTAACATTTTTTGCACGCTGATTAGTTTTCAGAATATAAAATGTGTTTTTTGTTATGTTTTCTTTTCTAGATGGATTGACATTAGGTTGTTCATGATAATTTTCTAACTAATAACCAATAACTTACCGCATCTAGTTAACATGAAACCTAAAAATTTATCAGCTTGTACTTTGAACGAGCATTTGTTCAGATTAAGCCGCAAGTTAAACTTTCTTACCAATGATATTGTCTCATTCAAATCTCCATAATGTCGCCCTTCATAGAGAGTTTTGATGACCATGTCTTCTATATAAACTTCTAGGTTCCAACCTATATGAATGGATAACACAATCTCGATGAGCCTTTGGCAAGTCACTCCTGCATTTTCAAGTTCAAATAGTGTGGCATCGTAGTACTACTTGTTCATGTTCGTCATGAAGGTTGTCTTTGGGCCGTTGTTGGGGATCATCCTAATTTGATTGTATTTAGAGTAGGCGTCCATGAATTTTAATGTGTTGAACTCGTACGCGTCATTAATGAGTCTGTCAATACTTGGTAGGGAATATGAACCTTTAAGGCACACCTTGTTAAGATCAGTGAAATCCACACTCATCTGCCATTTTACCAATTTTTTCTTAACCATCACTATGTTGGCCAACCATATGGGATATTTGAACTCTTGGATGAACCTTACATCTAGCAACTTTTTTTCTTCTTCAACCATGGGAAACCTCATATCTTCGCCTTTTTTTTGTTTTCTATATGAGATGGATTTTAAGTTGGTTGTTATAGATTATTGATGACACACCATATCAGGGGCTATTCATGGCATATCAACAGGCACCCAAGCGAAAAAAATTAACATTATCTTGTAGTAGTTGCACAATCTCGACCTCTTCGTCTTCTGGAAGGGTTGTTTTGATCTGAGTAGTTTGATGTTTTTAGGGTCCTATGTGGGCTGCCTTTAGCTCTTCTGTACGGGTTAAACCATCTTCTAGTAGATCTCCACAATGTTCTAGGTTGACATAGTGGATCTTATGTGTTTCCAAAATAATTACTATTTAACTTTCTTTTCCAACTTAAAAATATATCGGTAACACTGTCTAGCTAATTCTTGGTTTCCATTAATCACTCCAACTCACCTATTGCTCAGCATGTATTTCATGGTCAAATTCAAAGTCAACTGGACCATCTCTGGAGCATTAAAGGTCATCCTACCAATGATGATGTTGTAAGGTGATGAAGCATTTATTAACATATACCTTACTTTTATTACCTTGACACTTATGTTACTTCTAAAGGTGGTTTTAATGGTGACATAACCAAGGACTTGAATTTATTCACCGAAGATACCTTTTAGTGACCCCTTAAACGGTTGAAGGAGTTTCGAGTCTAACTTCACACCTTCGAAAGCTTCCCAATAGAGGATATTTTCTTAACTATCGGGATCCATCAAAATACCCTATTGACATTCCAATCGTGGATTTGAAGGTTAATCGTCATCGAGTCATATTCATGGAATATTATTCCTTCAGAATCCCTCTAGGAAAATTGACATTTAGGACAGAGACCCTTGATTCAGTGGGGGAGCAATGGCGACATGCATTACTTGTCGAGCATACCTCTTTCGAGATGAGTTAGATTTTCCATCGCTTGTAAATTTTCCAAGGGTTGTATTTAAGATATGTCGAGGAGTACTTCCCCTTCGTTATTCATGCACTCTCTATATCCTCCTAGTCGAAGAGGTTATTTCTTTGGGCTTATGAGTAGAGGATCTCCTTCCATCGTTGTCTCAACCACTATCTTGTGCATACCTCTAAAGATAACCCTTATGTATCAACTTTTTGATCTCTTGCTTCATGTGGTGATAATCATTGGTATGGTAGCCTCGTACCTTATGATATTTATACCACGTGTCTGTATCCATTCCCATTAAGTCCCATTTAGCCGGGTTAGTTTCAGGGAGGATTTTCGCATGGAAAACTTCTTGCAGGATCCTTTCCTGATTTGTGTTCAACGGGGTGAAATATTCATATGGTGTCTGATATATCTTGAAAGATGCTTTTTCTTGGTTTTGTGCTTGATCCATATGCCTTATTTGTCTATCTAACTCTGATTTTGACATCCATTTATCTTTCGCATATCTTAACCACTTCTCACCATTATTGAAATTCTGGTAATCAGACACTAGATGTTGAGTCTGATGTCACAACACTGGGGTAAGGACAAAAACACAACATAAACAATTACACAGTTAATTTAAATAACTAGAAGTAAATAACTCAAATCAATTGTTAACCCAGTTCGGTGCAACGTCACCTACATCTGGGGGCTACCAAGCCAGGAAGGAATCCACTATAATAGTATTAGTTTGAAGTTCTAAACAACCTCTGGTTTTACAAACTTCTCACCTAATCACTACCTGTGTTATTTCTATCTAAGACACTATTAAATATGTGACCCCTCTCATTTCTTATCAATCACACAACAGTGATGATAACAAGATAACAATAAAATAAGGAGACACACTCCAATAAACATAATTCACTCTTACTTAAAAGCTCGTGAGTGATTCACGATTACAACTCAATAAACTCAGACTACTTCGAGCATCTAAGTGATGCATGAATGACTCACAAATAACAATGAACACAGTCAAACTCTTATTCAAAGTGATATGAGAGTGGATCACAAATAAAAAAGAACAACTAAACCCTAATTCCAATAAACTGAAGCGTATATTTTTCTTGTGTCTTACAGGTTTAGCACTGTCCTCTTTAAATAGCCTTTGGTAAGCATGGGCTTAGGGCGCAACAAATCCAAAACAGCAGCTGCAAATATTTTGCATAATCTTCTGCACAAAAATAGGAACAAAATATAATGTTTCCTAAAAAGTCTTTAAGCCATTTTTATGAAACAAATGCACTTCTGGTATAGAACCAATGTTCCTAAAATAACCTTCCTTGGTTGTGACAGAGTGTGAACTAAAACCAAATAGAATCTCACACTTTACAACTAAAACTTCTAAATAAGTAAAACCCTAATCTTCTGGTATAACATGTCAAGACATCATGTC